AGGGGCCGCGCGAACCCTACGGCAGACCGTTATGGCATAAAACTTGTGTTTTATGAAATGACACGGCACTAAATAACGTTCCGTGTGGCTATAGAATAGGTTTGGGTGATGCCGTGAGGCTGCTGTGCTTCAGTAAGTGGTGTTTTCAGGTGGTTTTGATTGCAAATGGATGGCGTGAGGTCTGGTGCCTCCTGCCCTTTTACAACAGCCATTTCAGAACAGCCTGGAGGGCGCCCTGCAGCAGAACACAAGCACGGCTTTAAATAAAAATACCTTGGCTGGTGGGGGTGTAGAGAGGTGCATGTTGGTCACTTCTCACAAGTTACAACCGAGAGGACAAGAGGAAATGGCGTCACATTGTGCCAGGGGAGGTTTAGGTTAGACATTAGGAAAAAATTCTGCGCTGAACATGTTACCAAAGACTGGGCCAGGTTCCCCAGGGAAGTGGTTGAGTCGCCCCCCTTGGACGTATTTAAGAGCCGCCTAGATGCGATGCTCAGGGACGTGGTTTAGAAGTGGGCCTGGTAGAGTTAGATAACGGTTGGAGTTGATGATCTTAAAGGTCTTTTCCAGCCATAACGACCCTATGACACTTCACAGGGAGAGGCGTACAAACTGGGCAGCGTTGGCTTCTTCTGACCTCGGTGGTGCTTCCCCTTGGACATGGGCCATAGGTACCACAGTGACAACGGCACAGGTGGTAAAGTGACCTCCAGGTAAAGTGTTTTTTATCTCCAACAAGCTAGCATTCATGTTTAAAAAGGCATTAGATTATTTTTGGAATGTAATGCAACCTTCAGATTTCTGCAGGTTTGGTATTCAAAATGCGGTACGGTGGCAATGAGAACGGGATGTTTCTCCCGTTGTAGGACCAGGTTAGAGTTTTCTTCCTTTTTTTCAAGAGGCGTTTTTCTTGCTTCTCAGACTAGCAAACACATCAACTGTTGTCAGATCAAGGTTAAAGCAATCAGCAAAAAGATACGATATTCTTAATTTAATGAAAGTTACTGGTATTAGCAAGATATAAAGCACAGGAAATAACACGGTTGTCAAATGAGAATTTCTTTTTGTCTTAGAATTCAGTTTCTAAAGGTACGCAGTTACCCCCAGAGTGTTTAATTATGTATTGTATTTCTGCTTGTTCAGCTGCAGTCTGCACATTCTGATTCAGCTCTAGAGGAAATGGTTTGTTTTCAGTGTACTACAGCAACCCCTATCACGATGCCTCAACTGAAACCTTAAAAATTACAAAAAAGCACCTCCTCCTGCTGCAGTTCACAGGAGCAACACATGAGAGGAGGAAGCCCACAGTTGGGATAGCCATCCTTTTTTTTCCTCTAACGAGCCCCAGCTGATTTAATTAAATCAATTTCTTCCTAGCATACTTAGCTAATACTCACTCATCCTGTACTTTACGGTCATAATTTTTCTGCTGTCAAAAGGTAAGTTCTCAAGAATTACAGGCTTTGTAAGAGCTGTTGTCACCCACAGCCACAGTAGCTCGTTTGCCGTAGAAGCTGGCACAATTTTGTGTTAATTCTAATAATGCAGTTTCTTCTAACCACGTCTCACCTGTGTGTCATGAAGTGAATCATCTGCTGCGCTGGCCCAGCTGGCCTCTCCAGTACTGGCATGTGGTTACCGCCTGCGGCACACAATTAACTTCTTTTCACTATCCATATCTGCATTGCTTCTTTAAAAAAAACCCAAAAAAAACACTGTACAACAGTTATGACAACAGAAATTCAAAAAGACAGAGCAGGATTATAGTCATGGTATCAAGCTACAGAAAATAGGATTTTAAGCCTAGCTTTAGCACACTTTCTTCTGGATCATACAAGGTTTCATGTCAGTCTAAATTTTACTGGATCAGCCTCCTCTTTCTCTTACAGGTAGCAGAAAGCCAGCAAACCTTAGCTCCGGTTACTTGACAGAAACGCAGTTGCACATTCACACCGGCTCTAGCTCATATGAAGTAAATGCACGGAGTCAGTGTAAAAAAAAAAAAACCAAAACAAAAACAACCAAAAAAAACCAACCCCCAAGCCAAAAAACCACAACAACAAAAACTCAAAAATTCTGCATATTTCATCAGTAAAGTTGCCTACTACAGATGTGGCCTTAGTCCAAAATACTTCCGATGATATTTAGGGATATGAGACTATTTGAAAAGCTGCAATGAGGTTAATTTTTTTCCTTTAACTTGCATATTTATTTAGTAAGATTGCAACAGCCACTGTTGTTCTCAAGAATCTCTGCTCCTTGGCTCATTCAAAGACCAGACACTTAAAGAGCAGTAAGGGAAAGGTCAACTGTTGGCTGAGCAGGTGCACAGCAGCCCTGGAGAAGGTATTTAACTGATTAAAAAGCATAAACATGTCTTCCAATGAACCTGGGTGAAGTGAAACTAATATTCATTGCTGTATTTGAGTAACGCTTGCAAGATCAGCACTGAAATGTGTTTGATGGACGGCAGAAGTAGCAAACAAGTTGTGGTTTTGGGTTTTTTTTTATTTTTTTTTTATTTATTTTGAGGAGCTTAACACAAAAGCAACTACCAAAGCCCAGCAGTGTTTTTGAAGAGACTTTCTGAGCACATATTGACAGGTGGTGTTTTGATTTTGGTTTTTTATGAAGATACTTCACTTGTAGCAAGGTTGAAGCATATGTTGAGCGGGAAAATTTGCATCTCTACTGTAGAAATGAAGCATGGCTCACAAACTACAACTTCCTCATGTAATTATTTACAGAAATGAAAGATGCCCCCTACTCCGTCTTGTGTTTCGGGTCATCATTTACATAGAACTGGAGCTCTTGTTGTCCCCACGTTGAGTAGAAAGGACATAGTCAGCAGGCACAGTGGGTGCCAGTACACACCTCCACGTGCTAGGAAGAAGGAATTGTCCAAACAGCATAATTGCAGCTGAAACAAGCATGTTGCTTTGGATCCATGTTATTTAAAGTAATTAAGACAGTCGTCAGAGGAACAGCACCTGCAATATGCAATACCTATCTTAGTCTTTCTGCTGCTTCTTCACCACATGCTCCCATTCATTCCAGGTCTCCAGACTCAAATCTTCAGTAGTTCCAGGAACACATTTGTTTCTTCCTGTTTCCTGATTTTTTTTTTTTTTTTTTTTTTTTTGAGAAGCTAACAGAATGGCCTACAGGAACACCCTGGCTGAAGTCTGGTAAATAATCAGGCAGCCCTTCTTACCCCTTTTGCAGTTCGCAGATATAAAAAGGGCCTTTCTTCAAGGCGGTGCAAAACCATACGGCACAGTATCTACAGCTGCTTTTACCCTTGCTCACGTGCCCAGAGTTAAGAAGGTGGAGGTCGGATAAGGGTTCCACATCAGCACAGTAACAACTGCTGAATTTTCTTCTGCCAGAGATTACTGCAGTACCAGCATATATGTGGTCTCAAAGGCCAAGAGGAAGCACCTGCTCAGATGTGTTGAAGATCCTCTTCACAGTGAATTCACAATGCTCGTTGTACATTGCCTAATTAAGTGGGAGAAATTTATGCTATTTTTTTCCAAAAAGGTGCAAGTGCTATTCAACCCCTTGGCTGAATTTTTTTTTTTTTTTTTTTGGCAAAGCTGTGCCAGACCACAGATGGATAAATACACACAGACACTCACACTACCTTCCCAGCAAAGCTAACAGCTTTAGAAGTGGAAAGATGACTGCTCGCTGCCAGCCTGCCTTGGGAACTGCACCAGGTCAGACCAAAAGTTTTCAGACAATAATTTGCAATGGCTTTTAGAAATTAAACAGTTTCAAATCTCAGCAGCTAGTTTACTTTCTATTGATTTTTTTTTTTTGCATTATTTTGCTCAACTTTTCAATGGTTTTACACTTCTTTTCCCATTTGTGAATGCACTGATTTAAAATCTTTTACTTCTAAAAATTACATCTGCATTCTCATTGTATGTATATATCTCAAAGACTCCTGCTACGTATGTATTTACAAATGGCGGTTTAGCTGTTTAATAATGCTTTTTGGGTGGAATGTCTACATACCTAGTGCTGCTAGCTGAAATCAGTAGTGTTTTGAGAAGAGGTAAGGGAGAACTGTTCACTTTCCATCAATTCATTGTTTTTTCCTCAAAGGTTGTACACAGGTCCCATACTTTTCTCCTCAGAGATCTCTGCTGTAGGATGTCTTCAAAACACCTGCCTTTGGGCAGTAACAGTTGGGCTGGCTCTATGCTCAGTGAGACACTAAGATGGGAAAATAGTACAGTGTAAAGGAGTTAGCTTGGAAGTTCCTTTGCCTTACCTTACTGTAATTATACAAACTCACACATCTTCTGGGTGGCATCAGAATAAACATCTGTGTTCCTGCGGGAAAGTCTGCTGTGCTAGCACCTCTCCTTTCCCACTCGCTGCTCTGGGAAACAGAACTGCGTTCCTGAATCAAGGACATGCTGGAAATACAGCATAGGTTCAAAACATGCACAAACAAACTCCATTTCCTCCAGCCTTGCTCTGAGATAAGATGACTTGAACGGCATATTTACCTGAACACATCCAAGCTAGCCAGATAGAGAACAGCTCCAGCCTGGAAGCCACGCAGTACTTTTAGCATAACGCTACATACAAATTCAGTTTATCAAGCAGGACTATCTGCTGTAACACAATTTAGGGACTACAGCTGCCTTGCATTTTTCTGTCCTTGTCAGCAAAGAAAATCCTTCAGAAAAAGCACTTTCACACCACAGTGGGAATTTTAAGGGAGGAGATATCCTCATTACTGTGACCTCTAAGAAGCAGTTTTAAAAACAAAACAAAGTACACATAACCAATGGCATTTCAGAACTGCTAATGAAAGACTGTTTCTACAAGCACAGATAATCTATCATCTGTGAGGAGATTCTCCCAGTGGAAGCATGCCAACAGAGGATTCATGTCACTTCTTGGAAGAAAATGAAACCTGGCTGGTGAAGTTCAGGGTTTATTTTGGCTTAATTACTAACAGAGGACAGATTTATGCAAACTGGATTTAATTGGAATAGGTAAAATTATTGGAAGGCTATCAAATACAAATTGGGGGTGGAGTGCCAGACTTCAGCTTTGCTTACCTCAGTTGTAAACTCTTATGTCAAATAGCCTTGGATAAACAAGTGAATGGATGGATTACATTCCAGTTTTAACTGCTCTGTTTAGACTGATAGGGGTACTGTTACTAATTAGGAGACGTTAAATAGGTCTACATCTGGTTGTAGCACTGCATGAAATAACTTTAGCAGACCTCAAACCTCATCTGCTCAGTATCATTCTTTTCCTTGTGCTAACATAGCTTGTCCAAGCATACAGAACCTGGATTAAGGAATAACGCTACCCAAAATTTAACTGCTGCAGGCAGACTGGTTATTCTATTTCAAGTCTAAGTATCTTCAACTGAGAAATACAAGATCTTTTAAGGACTGCTGAGTCCTTAATGCGTCCATAAATCCGCTGCAGACCCTGTCCATCACAGGCAAAAGCTTAAGAACTCTGACATCTGAGTTTAAGTATTTCATGACAGCCTCTTACTCTCACCTAACAGCTCTATCCTCTCTCTCCAAGAGGACACCTTTCTCCCAGCAGAATGGGTGCTGAGGCTTCAGCTGCTCCCTTCCACTAGGTTACAGTGCACTAAATACAAGTTCATGACAAGATGTCAAAATAGAAACTGAGGGGTTGGACACAACCCAAGTTGTAAATTCCCTTCAAGAGCTTGATTGAAGAGTCCTCCTTCCCCCTTTTAGCAAGAGCTAAAGCCCCCCCCCCAATAAACAAAACATGCTAAAACAAACAAAAAAAGGACTACCGAACCCAGATATTCCTTTTATAATGAAACTTTTATAATGTAACAAGTAAAGCAGACTAACAGGGATTTTTAAAGACTTTACTTCTGCATAAAGACAAAATGCCAAAAATGTAACACATTCCCTTATTTACAATCATCATAAATCACATGAAAGCATGCGCACTGGATCAACAAGGTTCTAAATATTACTTCTTTAAAAAATGCTGTACAGACACATTCCTTGTATACACACGCTCCATGCTCTGTGGTGTGTGTCTGAGACACCCTTGTGCTGGGACACTACTGCCTGAGCATGCCTGGAAATAATGTTTTGGAAGGGACTGGGAATAGCTTCTGGAGAAACAGCTTACTTTCACACCAGTAGCACAATGGGCTTTCGACCGTTGGATACACTGCCAGCCCCACAGCAAGGCTGATGTGTGTCATCCCCAACACTGCCAAAGTTCTGCAGTGGCCTTGCAAAAAGTGAAACCGAACTCCTGCAAAGAGACAGTTCCTAGCTCTAACAGACATTTGTATCTCAGTACATGCTACATAAAATGCCACAAGGACTGTAAAAAATTCTTGTAACTGGCACACCAATCTGGTCTGAACTCCACTGTAGCCACAGCCCTCACTTTGACCTTCTGATCACAGTGCTAGAAGAGCAAACAAAGGAGAGCCTCTTTCAACACTGTCACAACCCTAAGCCTGGACACCCCGTGCCCAAGAGCAGCTCCAAACCTGTAAATACTGCTGCTCACCTCCAATTCCTGTAGGAACAGCAGGCACTGAATTCATTCTCTTTCACCCTTAGCAGTAGATTGGCTCTTTAGGTCAGGCTGCAACTCATAGAAGCAAAATCCAGGTACTTAGGCTGCGTTGCTGTTCAAACAGTCACTCATCCCCTTAAAGAGAGTGATCCGATTTTGATAAACCATCTACCTTTCCTTTCTCTTCTCTCACTAGGCTTAGGCAAATGCTAGCTTAATATACCTTATCTCAGAGAATGTTAAATATGCCAAATGGATGATCACTCAGTCCAAAAGCTAAGAACAGTTTGTCTTTAATAACTGGAGAAAGGTTGAAGTTATCTACATTCTTCTGAAGCAGCTCTTCAGGTTGGATGTACAATTCTGGTGGGTCCATTAGAGGAAACAAGGTTTAACTCCTTGATTTAAGGGGTGGCATTCTTCAGTTTGACTCGACATTGGACCAATTCACCAGCATAGCATTAGCGCACTCTAAGTAGCATGATCTCCAAATTGTGACAGCAGGATCCATCAACTGAAGTAGCCTTTACAATACGATGCACATGTCATCTGTCAATGCAGGTAAAGCAGAAACATTCTCACAAAAGCTTTAAGGAACACCCATCATCATTGCAGCACAGGTTTAATGAAATCTGGTTTTGCACTTGAGGCAGAGCTTGCAGAAAACAATCTATCCTTAAAGATCTGGAGAAACCTAAACAGAAAGGTAGATAACAGTATTTTATAAATATGATATAGCTAGTCTTTAACAGCAAAACATTTATCCTTTTAAGCTGTAGTGTTACAGTAGAAGTAAACGGAACAGAGCACTGCATATGGTAAGCTTAAAGCACAGTAGAAAAGAAAAAATGATATTGTCCATACTAAAAAGTTACAGATAGCATGAACACTTTGAGAACATAAGTTATTGGAAAAACAAGTACTACATACCCTATATTCCTAAAGTACTTGTCAAAGAGAAAATGAAGCAGTTGAGCCTATCTTTCCCAACCCCTTGCATCATTTTCACTTAAATGTCATTATTAATTCATACAACACATTTTCCTCTCAATTCTAATTAACACGTTCCTGCCGTATCTTAAGCGTCCTACTGACTAAATTTTTTTCCTTTAAAAAGCAACCAGGTATGTTCAAACTTATGGACATTTAACTGGGCTCTAAACCAGCCATATTTATTTTTCCTGTTTAAGACAAATTTTCTTCTAGCAAAAAGGCAGGTAGTGTGGAATTCTACCATGTAACATATGTTCAAACTTATGGACATTTAACTGGGCTCCAAAACAGCCGTATTTATTTTTCCTGTTTAAGACAAATTTTCTTCTAGCAAAAAGGCGGGTAGTGTGGAATTCTACCACGTAACCCACTATTTGGTTTTCAGGCACCATTCACCTTCCGCAGATGAAGTTCCTGCCATTTGAGTGTTAGAGCTCACACTTAAAAAACATGGTTCGAGGCAGCGTCTCTCTCAAATATTGACCTTTTCAGCCCAGGAAACCACCCTGTTGCTTCAAAGAGAAGCTATTTAACGCACTTTCTACTTTTTTTGTATCACAAAGATAGTTCTTCAATTAGAATGAGTGATTATGAACCCACTGAGTATATGGACTCCTTATTAGAGCCTTACAACAAAGACAACTGCAAAGCAGCTAAATACCAACTACGTAGAAGACCAGAAAGGCTCTCTTAAGTGTGATGTACAGAGGCACACTTCTTTTACCTGCGCATTTCACCTTATGTTGATTGCACATATGCTGACTGTAAATCTCTTCCTCTTTCAGTGCAGATTTTATGCGACTGCACCAGTTTTCCAAGACTTGATCTGCTGATCTCAGACTATATGCCTATTCTTCAAATCATTTTCTGTCCCAGGAGATAGTCCTCCTTCTTCGATACTTCTATATACAAAGAGAGACTAGATATTTTCAAATATTGAATTAGGACTTTAGAAGAGTGAATCCATACTAAGTCTTATTCATGCTCAAAGAATTTAAATTAAAAAATCAATAAAGTCACTAGAAAAAATGCCATTACCGCATTTTTAAAAGCTCTGTTTGCCTCGTCTTCATATTGCTAGAATTCAAAACCTAAGTAGCGTAAAACTAATTGTGTGCCATAGTCTTAATACCATATTCTTAATGAGTATTATGCAAAATATCCCAAGATCACCATTAAACAGACATTTATATCCTAGTTCATGTTTCAGAGCCTGCATTAAGTGTAGATCAAAGATAATCAAGTTACACAAAAGACTACTGATTAAAAAGAAAGCTGACTCAAGATGCTACCCGTCCCATTAATGAACCACATCTACAGTCCAAAAGAAAATTTTCACTGAAATCTATTGCTGCAAATGCAAAGTTGCGGCTTCATCACAAAGACATTAAGAGGCTGAAAACCTGCTACTGAAATAATTTTAAAAAATCGGCACTTTTCATTTGGGTGATAAGATAAAATACACTGTTTTCTGGATGAACATGTAAATAGTTCCATTTACTAGGTCTGAATATTAGAACTTTTAATGAAGGTGCTATATTAAATACACAAGGATGGGATAAAATACTAATACAATAAAGGAACAAAAAGAGAAACTGATCTATTTGAACAGCTGGATTCAGTAGAATGATACTGCATATGGGCTACTGAAACAGAATAGGTAAAATAAGGAGACAGCATGAACTCACCTTGGTATTTATATTTTCTTCCTCATTATTCTATCTTCAGCGCTTGCACTTCCCCATTCCCTTTCAGGGTATTCTGACTGATGTCCTTCCAATATGCTGCTACAAAGTTTAAGCCTACAAATAAAAAACAAAACAAAGACTAAGTAGCTTTATTATGGTAACTGTTTTATACTTAAATACAGCTACAACCTGCTATTTACTCTAATACAGACTATAATTTGAGAACATAAGGACAGAATTTTACCACACACCATAAATACTGGCCAACCCAACCCTAACAGGAATAGTAAAGAAATCCATATTTATAGTAAAAGCTTGGATTGAAACACAGCAATAAGGCAACTATGCTTCTAACTTACTACGCAAAAAAGCCCCTAACTGATGAGCTGCATTTTATACCTCTCCAGTCTGCAGTCTGTATCTCTCCAAGTTTTGCTGTCAGGCAGAAAGAAGCTGGTTTTTTTCTGTTTCTGATTGTTCCATCCTGAAGAACAACTGGCTGGAATTGGGTCACTGCATAAAACCAAATAACTATCATTGTTGTCAGCTACAAAACAACTTAATCTCTCAGGAGACGGAGAGGAAACTTTCAGCTCCTAGGCTGAGGAAGTCAGAGACTCGTAACAACCACGGGGACCAATTCTGTAAAATGCCATTGCTTTCCATAAGACAAAGAGGGTGTAAAGGGCCCAGCTAAAGGGCCCAGCATCTTCCAGCATTACGTAACGGCAGAAGCAGCAGAAAGCAACAGATGGAGAGTCAGACTGGAAAAAGCCAAGTAAACTTCAAAGAAAAACAACCAAACATACCACATGTTGGAGGAAGTGTAAGGAGGAAACAAAAAGTAGTATTAAACAGCGAAGGAAAAAGAAAATAAAAAAAGGACACCTTCACAGAGCAAGCAATAAACAGAAAGATCATCATAATCATTATGGTACTTACCTTGTTATTTCTATACCATGTTGTAATGTCATTACTTCGTCATTTTCACCAAAGGCTTCCCACTCTGAGCACTTTGAAAAAGCCTCTTGTTGTCCTGATTCAGTAAGACTAGAAAGAAAGTGAAAAGGTCTGAAACCAGGGACCTTTGTATCACTGTTCCTCTTAATTCTTCTGAAGGTAAGTGGGCTAAGTAGAGAGAAAAAACCACACCTGTATAAACATTTTTACTAAGATTAGTGTGAAAAGTCTACTAAACTCCCCAAAACTGAAATCATTGTTCCAATTTTCTTGTGGTTCTGACAAAACCTGGTAGAGAGTTAAACCATGCCCTCCTCTACATAGCCTATTATTTCCCATTTATAGGAAGACTTCTTATGCAGCAGCTAGGAAAGAGGAAAAAAAAGTAGTATGATTAAAACCAATTGCTAGTGGAGCAGTTTAATTCCTGAACAACTTAGAATAAAGGAGGTGCTAGCCTTCTGTAATCCATTTTTTAACATTAACCTCACTCTGTCCCAGTCCCAGGCTAGGTGACCAATTCCTTGTTGTTCCAAGAAGAATTTTGTTCCGTACCACCCTTCATAAGGCAGAGAAAATCTTAATCAAAATACACAAAGCTTCTTTCACATCCCTTCATGAATACACATTCTGTAATACCTGTAGCGAATGTAACATGGCAATAATTAAACTGGCAGCGAGTTTCAGTTCACTGACAGACTTACGAGTGCACATTGGGCTCCATTCCTTTACCACAACATTCATCAATCTGCACGCCAAAAAGCAGAATGCCGTGCACGTAAGAGGTAGGGGAAATAACCATGGCAGACGCCTAACAATTTCAGAATTACAGCCTCTAAAGCAGAAACCATGTTCCATGAGAAACCAAGAACAACACATTAGCGTCACCTAATTCTACACTAAAAAAAAATAACCTACATTGTGTCTTCTGACACTGAAGTTTCTCTACCTTTGCAATGAACCACTGCAAATATTTGCTATCATACAACACAATTTTTCTGGCATGATTTCCTTTCCTCATTAAATTGCACACACATAGATAAAATTGAAGCTATTAACAAATGGAGGGATAAGTATCAGTCACATTCCGAAAGTCAGTTCATAGTTTCAATGAGTCTCCATATGAAGAATCAATTCATACCTTTCCAGTGTGTGGTACATATGCACATAATGGGATTTGCTCTTTGAAACCACAGAGGAGTCAGAATTGTTTCTTTTCCTACGTTTCCATACTGGAGAAGAATCGGGAGAAGAGGGACTATAAAAATAAGACAAAGATTTTACACACAAAACATTTTTCATCTGTATTTAAATGCTTATCAGAGTTCTGCAAAATCATGGCACATGATACACAGGAAGACTTCTGGCAGTATGATTCTTCAGTCACAACAGAAGGAAAGAGAGAAAACAGCTCAAATTTTGGTAACGACTCCATTGTATTTTGAAAAGTGAACCCAGTCACAACCACACAAGAAATGTGGAAGCAGAACCATTTTCAGCTCCACATGCATACTCCCAGATCAAGGTATCTCAGTAAACAGGGAAGTGCAGGAGGTGCTTCATTGCTAACCTCCCTGCTGTTCTGCAGACAGGCGTAATACTGTTAATTAAGGAGGCTTCTGAAAAAGGTATCTTATTTTCAGCACTTACCAACAGTGGTTAAAGAACGCTCAGTATTCCACTGTATAAACAGAAAAGCTGAAAAAACACTGGCTTTTTCTGCAAATCTGTAACACTGGTAATTCTTCCACATTCAATGCTCTGTGCCAGTGATAAATTACATCCAACAGGTAAAGTGCCAAACTCCCAGTCTGAGTATTAACTGCACTGCCTCATTAAACAATTCCTAAAAAACCTGACAGCATCAACGTGTATTGAATTATTTCAATAAGTTAACCACAAGAGTTTTTTCTCATACCTCTCCGGTGTGTAGTCAGTCTGTCTGCATTCATCTTCACACTCATTTCTCTTCTGCTTTTCATCAAATACAAGGGAGCCAGAATCATCCTGATCTTTGCAGAACCATTCTTGGGAACTGCCCGAGGGTTCTGTACTACTAAAAACAGAAAAGAAAAAAAAAAAAAGGATTTAAAATACTACCCACCTAGCTTACCACTCCAACCAGAAGACAGTTAAGATGCAGTAATAATTAACAGTTAATCTCATATGACATTCAAATGGCACAAACAACTGCAAGTTCTACTGTAGGTCAATTACAACACAGCTAAAACTATTTGCCCAATGCAGTTACAGAGTTAACATATTTCCGTTGGTTTTGTCTCAATTTAATAGTCCAGACCTTGTGAATTATTAGGTGGTGTCAGCTAGCGGAGCTAGCCTTGCAGCAGAAATTCAAAGTCCTGAAATGATATTAAAAAAAAATATATTCCACCTTGGACACAGTTGCCACTCTCTTGCAGAGAGCACAAAAATCTCTCTAATCTTCTTGCACTTCTCAAATCCTCTAACTTATCGTTATTGCAGGAGAAAGGTAGTTCCACTGACACCAGAAAAAGGAAAGATGGAAAAGTTATCAAGGTCAAGGAACAGTAATCACTGAATTTCTGCTTATGCCTATCCCTCTCTAGAGATAAAATTTTACCTTGTGCTCACCAGTGTAAACACACAGGGGAAAGAAGCGTACTACTGTAGACAGACCATATGCCTTCCTCCCCAAAGCACCTTACTGGAAATGAGTTTAAACTAAGTAACGGGAATATCTTGAAGACTAATAGAATTCAAAAGGAAAACAAGGCTTTCCAGGAGACACTCCTTTCTGAGCCTCATCTCATCTCTTGCTCCCAGTTCGGAATGCTCCAAAGGAAACAGAGGCCTCCTGTGAAGCAAAAGACTCGCTGATTGAATTCACCCATACACACACTGGTTGCAGATCCCAGGTTTCTTCAGTAGGAGGATCCCAGGCATGCAGTGCTATCTTCCACAGCCTGATCTGCTGGTCCCAGGATCTACGGCTGTACTTCTTGAATTTGTTGGGAGTTCTAGGATGAACTCCTGGTATTCGCTGATTCCTGTAAATCCACAGTAACATCTATTATTTCAGAACCTGATTTTCATTCTTAAAAAAAAAATAATCTTCAGTCCACCAGATCACACAGGCATCAGTGGCCTAATACATAATATTTTCATATTTTTAAATGTGTAACTGAAATGTGTATATTCTTAAACATTGTCAAAACCAGACCACACAAGCAACAACTAACAATAACATGCTGCGTCAGACCAGATGTTCAACTAGTCCAGCACTCTGACAGCTGTCAAAAGCAGATCCCTACCACCCATGGACAAATATGAAACAGAAGAAGAGCAACTCATACGCCTTCAATAGTATCAATAGTATCCTAGCCTCCAGCTACTTCTATCTCAGTTTTTCTAAATCAGGTGCAGTTTCTTTGTATTTAGTATTGTACTGAGTCTGGCTAGGACAGAGTTAACTTCCTTCACAGCAGTCCCTGTAGTGCTGTGCAGTGCTGGTTTTATGGCTAAAACAGTGCTGATAACACACTAATTTTTGGCTGTTGCTGAACAGTGCTTGCACAGCTTCAAGGCCTTCTCTTTTACCTGCTCTGCCCCACCCCCTCGTGCAGCCACTATGTTGAGGGTGAACAAGAGGCTGTGAGGGGAAACCGCTGGGACAGCTGACTCTAATTACCCGAACAGATATTCCATACCATACAACGTCATGCTCAGCAATAAAAAACGGGGTAGAGGAAGAAGGGGAGCTGTCTTCCAAAGTGTCCACTGCTCAGAGACTGTCAAGGCACCAGTCTGCTTGTGGGAGGTAGTGAGTGAGTGCATTTGCATCACTTGCTTTTTCTCCCCTTTCTTTCCTTCATCTACTAAACTGCCCTTAACTCAATCCATCAGTTTGCTCGCTTTTTGTCTTCCTATTCTTTCCCCATCCCACCAGGGAGAGGGAGGGAGCAAGTAGCTGTGTGGGTACTTGGCTGCTGGCAGGCGTCAACCCGTAAGTATCTTCAGTGAACTTCTATTCCACCATTGTCCATGCATTACTACAATGGGCATTGCTATAATTCTAAACAGCATTTGTCTTTTGGGAGTACAAAGTATCCCCACTCTCTGGGTAAAATGTAACTGATATGCCTTTCCACTGAATCTACACTGGGCAGACACTATAACAATGCTGTCTGAGACCACCCATTGGCTGGAAGTGTTATTTCTCAGATGGCATCCCACATCCAGATCCTGCCCACCAGAGATTATTGGAGAGCTCACTCAAACTGTTATCTTCAGTACAAAATAATCCTGTTTATAATCCTACCATACTGGTGTCGACTTTAAGCCTGGGGAGGTGGTGGAGGTGGAAGCATATTACAATAACGTTTTAAATCCCAGAAAGTACCTTGGTATCAAGTGGTTTCCCCTATCAGCTTCGCAGATCAATGTACTTAGCCATAACATTTTTTGTAAGATAAACAGACCCCTGCTGAGTAACAGTATTATAAACTACCCCATTAAAATGCCAACCAGAACACTTTTTCTTAAAAAATTTATCCCATGTTTTTTTCTGAACGTTGTTCACACCCTTTCCTATTCTCCACCTACAATGTAACCGATCACAACACAGATACGCATGTCCTAGGCATCACCATAAGACTGGCTGCAGTCCTACCACTCATGACAGAGACAAGCAAAATTACAATTCACAAAGCAATTCAAGACTCCCTCAAGGATCTCAAGATTCCTCTCTACGGATGAATCACTGAAGACTGGTTTCCCTTACCAATACTTAAATGCAAGGCTTTATTCAGTCCTCATTCAAAGCTGTCACTTTCTGGTATCAATTAACTTCACACTGGCCTAGCAGCACAGTCACCAGAAGTGTCACAGAGCTGATTAACAGAGAATTTATTTAAAGTGTATCTGCTACTAGCAAGAGCAATACACAAAGTGAACATTTAGCTTTACATTTTCCCTAATTAATTTTTTTTCATATGCAGAAAATACCTGGCCTCTCTTTGATAGAAATAAATTAATTTAGGTTTTCTTCACTTACTGTACATACAGTTTTAAGAGAACTAAAGGTGTGTGCTAATCTACAGATACGTCACGAACAAATAAGAGTTTATTTGGAAATGTGCAACACAGTGCAACTTACTTTGGAACTTCTTTAATGTATCTGTCATATGCAAGGGTATTCTTTCCAAAATTGATCTGTTTTTGCCTTCTCCTCAGAACCACTTCATCTGTTTCCCTTTCAGCTGGATTAGCAGAAGCACTTGAAACAGAACTTAAAATAAAAATTAGAATTAAGTTGAAAAGAACCTTAATAGCTTTACAAGTTATATAAACACATACGCTAGAACTGCATGTATCGTCACTCTGATAGACAGCACAACTCACTTCACTAGCTTACAGAAATAAAAGTTGTGCTAATCAAATGCATCACTAAAACAAAAAGTGTAGGTTTTGCAAGTTAATGCAATTGCTCAGGTTTATAACAAGTAAACATAGGCCTGAGGGTGCTGGAGCTGCCTTACTAGAAGCTTATAGCTAGTCGTACAACAAGCAAATCAAGCGATACATGGTTATTGCATATATGTGAAACAATCTCCTAATACAAATATGAAAAAGCTTAAACTCTATCAAACAAAGATGAGTAATATTAAGGAGGCTAGCTTGAATAATCTAATAGCCATTTCTTTCTATAAGCCTCGACAGTTGGTTTTCACAGAATCATGGAATCTTCAGAGTTGGAAGGGACCTCTAGAGATCATCTAGGCCAACTCCCCTGCTAAAGCAGGATTGCCAGGAGCACAGTACTCAGGACTGCATCCAGGCAGGTCTTGCAAATCTCCAGAAAAGGGGCCTCCACCCCCTCCCTGGCCAGCCTGTGCCAGTGCTCTGTCACCCTAACCGTAAAGAAGTTTTTCCGTGTATTTGAACTGAACTTCCTGTGTTCCAACGTGCGCCCATTGTCCCTCATCCTGTCACTGGGAACCACTGAAAAGAGTCTGGCTCCATCCTCCTTCAACCCACCTTTTAGATATTTGTACGCAATAATAAGGTCTCCCCTCAGCCTTCTCTTCTCCAGGCTAAAGAGTCCCAGTTCTCTCAGCCTTTCCTCATAAGGGAGATGCTCCAATCCCTCAATCATCTTGGTTGCCCTTCGCTGGACTCTCCCCAGCAGTTCCCTGTCCCTCCTGAACTGGGGAGCCCAGAACTGGACACAGTATTCCAGTTGTGGCCTCAACAGTGCAGAGTAGAGGGGGAGAACGACCTCCCTTGACCTATTGGCCATACTCTTCCCTATGCAGCCCAGGATTCCATTGGCCTTTTTGGCGACAAGCACATTGCTGGCTGATGGATAATTTACTATCTACCAGGACCCTCTGAACTCTCCTCAGAACTACTTCCCAGCAGGTCCACCCCTAATCTATACTGGTGCCTAGCATTCTTCCTCCCCAGGTGCAGGACCCTGCACTTGCTCTTGTTGAACCTCATTAGGTTCTTCTCTGCCCAGCTCTCCAGCCTGTCCAGGTCACGCTGGATGGCAGCGCAGCCCTCTGGAGTATCAGCCACCCTCCCGGTTTGGTATCATCAGTGCACTTGCTGAGGATACACTCTGTCCCCTCATCCAGGTCACTGATGAATATATTGAACAAGATTGGACCGAGTATTTACCCCCGGGGGACACTGCTGGTTACCAGCCTCCAACTTGACACTGCTCCATTAATCACAACCCTCTGAGTTCTGTCACACAGCCAGCTCTCAATCCACCTCCTTGTCACCTCATCTAGCCCACGCTTCCTCAGCTTCCTAATGAGGATGTTATGGGAGACAGTGTCAAAAGCCTTGCTGAAGTCAAGGTAGATGACATCTACGGCTCTCCCCTCATCCAGCCAACCAGTTATAACATCACAGAAGGCTATCAGATTGGTCAAGCACCAACCAAAAATGGTTTTCATTTTTCCTTTCACTATCCAGTATCTTCTCTTATGGAAAGTTGTAATGAATATGCAATTAAAGCTGAAAAAGAAGAAAAGCTTTTGAGATAAGACTTCTCAGTGCTACTCTCGCCTTAAGGCTTCCTCCAGGCTTAATATAAAACAGTCCGGTTGCGTTTCAAATCTTCATTAATGCATGTAAAGTAGCTGGGCATCATCAGATGGCTATTGTTAACACCAACACAACAATAGCAAAGAATTATTCAATACCTACCTTGTTATTTTTTTATTTGATGTCCTCATTGTTTTGCCTTCTTCAATTCTACCTTCCCAGTCGGGGCAACTAGAAGGAGGCCTAGAATATTCTGGTGTTGCAGAGCTGGAAAATAATGAGAACTCAATATGAACATTTGATGCTCATAACGTATTTAATGAAGAGAAACTTCAACAGTGGACAAAAATAGCTCCACAACAGTAACACCATGGGCATGCCCCTACTCCACTTCAGTTCAAAGTCAAACAAATAAAAAATTTCAGCTCAAGTCACCTTCAGCAGCGATGTAAGATTATCAGTTTTGCTTTGCAGGGAAAGAAAATGGTCATAAAGTCAAATTTATGTCAGAACACAGACCCGACCACCTCTTCAAATACTCCCAGCTCAGCCAATGCAAATGCTTCTCTCTACTACTTGAGGACCTTCTCAATACCGCCATTCCATCAAAGAGCACACTAAATTACTCGAGGTCAAAATCATCAGTCTATTCACTGCTTTCTGTAATCAGCTAAGGACTTTGTAAAGGACACAGGAGATGCTTAAGAAATAGAAAAATCCCCATCACATCAGCACAACTAGCATTTTGTGAGACACCATCATATCCCAACGTATTACTTCAAGAATGTAAACTCTGATGCGTAAAGCCAAGAAGGGAGCCAGAAAGCTCTTACTTAAGTAACAGTTGGATCACTGATGTTCTCTGTGTGAAGAAACACTGACCAGGTTCCTCATTAACTTAAAAAACATAATAAGTGGAAACTGTAAAATGCTGTAATATCCTGAAACTCTGAAAACTTCTCCTTTCAGTCTGTCCACTTCTTTCAATGTTAATGCCACAACATTTAGCTTAAGTAACAGAGAAGCAGACTTAGCTTATGGTCTTATTTTCCCTAAATGGTTTCACATCCACAGATGAAACTACTATCCAGGCTGACAATGTCATTTTAACATGACATAAAGATTGCACACTAAGAAGAAACATATCTACTTTGCAAAAGAGAAACACAAAATGCTGCTAGCACACCCAGTTTGACTCACAATCATAACATACTGTTACTATTTTTATGATAGCATCAAAGACACAGAAAAGACTACTGAATACAAGATCTTTCCTAAGCTCTTCAAAAGATTGATTTATTAACTGAAGTGCATTATATTCTGATAGCATTAAATATTAAATATTTATAAATAAATTATAAAGAAAAATTATATAAATAAAATTTAAATATTTATTAACTGAAGTGCATAAATTCTGATGGCATTAAACAGGCCATCAGAAATTACAATTGTCTTCATATAATGTAATACTCAGAAACATACACATTATATTAAAATTTTCATGTGCCCTCAGTAAAATACTTCACCTCTTCTAACTTCCTACTCAGTTTTCTGCAGATATCCCATCACTCACCACTTTTCATAATTCCTGTCAGACATGAAGACACCAATATTCTGATGGCATTAAACAGGCCATCAGAAATTACATTTGTCTTCATATAATGTAATACTCAGAAACATACACATTATATTAAAATTTTCATGTGCCCTCAGTAAAATACTTCACCTCTTCTAACTTCCTACTCAGTTTTCTGCAGATATCCCATCACTCACCACTTTTCATAATTCCTGTCAGACATGAAGACACCAACCTCAACCACTTCCTCCACCTGAGGTCTTTAGTCTACAATATCCAAAAGCAAAGCAAAATAGTCCCGGAACTACCTACCTATAAAATTTGATCTCATCTCACATTGTACTTGATACCGGACTACCAAACAAACAAAAAGATATATCTACTAAAAACTGTAGTACAGCTGAATATACTGAGTGCACTGCCAAGTGAAGACATAAACATGGTTTGCCCACACTT